TGCCCATGCACACAGACTATCTTTTAACACCAGATGTTACCGGATCACACACAAGGTGGAGCAAAACCGGAAAACAAGCGGAGACCAAACAAGAAAACAACGGCAAACAGTGAGTGTGGGTAGAGTGAAATACCTTTTGATCAAGCTATTTTGGGGTGAAAAAAAGCAGGTTTGGCACATCTAACGGTTTGCAGATCAGTAGTTTCAATGCACTGGTGTGTTTGCAGGCAGGCTCTGCCCATGGCTTCGTTTCTTGCCTCTTCACCTGAGATGAGCCACTTTAAAAGCGACTCTATCACACACAAGAATTTGCTGCTTCATCATATTCTATAAAGAGAAAGCACGGGGCTGATGCCCAACCATGAATCCCACTACAGACTCAAACATCAGTGACAACGAGCCTTGCAACCACTCAAAGCAGGGCCAGAGAGGCATTAAAAAACCTCACTTCATTCAGAAAAACATCAACTTCTGTCACTGAACCCAAAAACTCTTGGTTTCCACAAAAAAGTTACAAGAAAACATGAAGGCAATAGAAAACACAGCAGTGTTTTTAACAACCCATCCCCTCCTGACCCGGTCCAGACTATCTTTGCTACCTGATTCAGATGTCTGTGTAGGAAGGGGAATAAGGGTGAGGAGCCACTACCATGTAGAAAGAGCTGACTTTGTGCTGAAGCAGCTGAGGTGCGATCACACAGCACATCCACAGCCATGGGAAGGACCCACCGTGATGCTCCCAAGGGATGCAGGTGAACCGGCATTAGGATGCACAGAAAGAGCTGTTCCCCACCAGCCATCATCCCCCCCCGACACACACACACACAATATATATGATGATCCCAGAAAGGAAAAACCTGCTTCTTAAATACAGCAAAACCTTCCAGGAGCTGAGCACATGCCCGAGTGGGTGGGAAATTAGTATTATTATTACCGTGTGCTCACAGGGTCTAAGACCTCAGATGACTTGTTTGTGCCCAGAATGGATTCCTGCAGACTCATTACAAACCCTTGCAAAGCAGGGTTTATAAGGTCACAGAAGAATTTCCATTAACTGTAGCCTAGCTCGGGGTTGCCACGATGATCTATCTCCCTCATTTATGCATACGCAATAAGGCCAAGACGAAGCTCCTTTGCTTTATTTCCACATCACTGTGCTGATGCTGAGCTAACCAAATAAACAAACTGAAAAGCGAGTGGGGAAGGAGGGGGGGGGGGAGGAACAGAGAGAATAAGGGAAAAGAAATGTGTGCCAGGCTCTCTCGCTCATGAAGGATGCAAATAAATTCCACAAGCTTTGAAGATGAAAATCCCCCTCGTGCTGGATGGCTCACCGGGTGCTCAGTTAAGACACTGCCTGGGCATGTATTATGCAGCTGATTCCATGTAAAGGATGGTCGGAATAGTTCCCCCACCACCTGATCAAGACCTGGCTCGGGGCTTTGCAATCAAGCAGCAACAGGGACCCTCTGGGCTCTCTGATCTCTCTCCCACCACCGTGAGACAGCAGCAAACAGTAACACTCCCAACACTAAACACTTCCCAAGTCTCCAAGGCACGGAGGATGTGGGGAGGATGTGTGCATCCACTTGTGTAGATGGACAGTTTACATCTTGGCTCCCTTCCTCCTTCAGTAAGGTATGGTATCTATCCCCTTAGAAAACCCAAGGGCAGGTCCCACCAGGACTCAGCAAAGTTCCCCATAATTCATTGTAAAGCCCAGCTGGATGCCCACAGCTCCTGCTCCAGCAGCACCGAATCCCTGACCTGACACAAGAGGCTTCGGGAAGAGCTGACTGTCCCTGCTCCATCACTGCAAACACCCCTTCCACAGACCCCCTGGACCACACCATGCCCACCCAGCAGAGCAGCGTTTGCACCTCTCATGCCTCCCCTTTGCCCCCACAGCCACAAGTCCTCATCAGCTGCACACAGATCACACCCCTGCATGCTCTCCTATGGAATCCCACAGAAGCACTTTGGCTACATCATTAGGAAAAGATGCGCTTGTGTTTTACCTTTTCATTGGCTTGTCGTGCTCAGCTCCAAGTTATACCCTGACCACAGCGGCCGAACCACCGGCATGCTCAAAGCCATCAGCCTTGTCTCTTAATCCTTCCAAATGCTTAGCAGCTAAAGCAAACCCTTTCTGTTCTCGCTCTCTCTAACTCAGCTCTGATCTGCTTCCACCTCCAAATCATTAAAGAGAATAAATAAGCCTAGCCTCGGTGTGAGGAACCTTCACATAACCACCTATCTATGCTCTGATCAGCACCCCTCCATTACACTTCTATTTTCCACAGCTTAACTAGGAAAGCTGGCACTGAACTCTGCCCCTTACCCTACAGCTATTTATTTCCCAAAATAGTCTCCAAATCCAAATAAATGAGGTACATTTCCAGTGCCTATTTCATTAGCCTGCCAAGCTGCAAGTAGCAGTAGGAAGGCAGGCTTCCCTACTCATCTTCTCCATGTATGCTATGGTGATTTAACCCCCCATCCATTCCAGGCCCATTATTTGTGATAACTAGCACCCCCCCACCTAGCACAGAACAGAAGCAAAACTCATCTACCCTCACATTTGGTTTCTGTAAAGGCATTGCATGGTAAAACCCCTGCTGTATCTGCCACCTCCTTTTGACCACTTCAGTTCCTCTGGGGTGACTTCCCAGCAAGGAGGAAGAGGAGGAACCATCCCTTCCATGTTAACAGCTGGTTCTGTTTCACACTTTATTTACTTCAGGGCTCTCAGATGAACCATCCCCAGTCCCACTCATTTACAACAACCAGGTTGGTTTTTTTTCCCTTTGGTCATTATTTGCTCTTTAAACAGTTCAATCACTGCTAATTTACTGCAAACGGTGGGAAGGATTTCCTCAACATCCCCGTACAAGGAAATCACTTTTCCTCCAGCCACTGTTTCTCTCTGCCACAGCTTCCTACATGCTGGGGTTCAGGGATCCTCGATTCACTCCTGCCACCCTTGGAGGTGTTTCAGCATCCTGCAGTTGCCTGGCTGTACCGGACATCACCTACACAACACTGTTGCTGCTGCACCGAATTCAGGAGCATGGCGAGGCTTTTCCCAGCTCCTGCAAGGTCTCCCACAGAGGCAGAGCCATGAGCAGACACTGAGGTCCTGTGTCTAGCTCACCTTATTTGGCTTAGTCATACAGAAGCTGGTGGCAGGAGAGGGGTGATAAATTACAGCTGAGCATCCTTTCTCCCCTCTCTTGCAAGGCACCTGCAGAAAGGTGGCTGAGAAGTACCCAAGGAGGTCCACGCTCAGTTCATTTACATCAGCTCCTATAGACACTAGGTGAGCATTTTAAGGTACAGGAAACATTGCTGGGTTTACTGCCCTGATAGCTTTTGAACTGGTTGAAGTTTGTGATCTCTGCTCTGCCCATCTGCCACTCGCTGCTCACCAACATGGAAATGATCCTGCTCGAGCTGGTCCTCACTGCGTTTTGCTGCACCTTCATTAAAACTAACTGCCCCATCCATCCCCAGTAGCACACCAAGCCTTCCACAGGCACAGAACAAGCACCACAAAAAGCACTGTTACATTAACAGCACTGATTATCCTTCCAAGCCACGTCCCGTAGATCAGGCAAAAGGTTATTATGGGGAGTTGTCGGGGTATTCCTTCTTACTCACACACAGCAAGATGTTCCCTGTATTAAAGATACTTCAGCCTTATGTATGCTGTCTTAGAAGGGCAGAAAATCAGTTCTGAGAAGGCTTGCAAAACTTTTGTCTCACCTTTTGCCACCTAAAGCATGAAAAATAAATCAAATCTGACCCTAGCAAGTCCTGGCCATGAAGATCTTCCCCCTCAAAGCCAGCAAGAATCAATATCCACAACCCAGGCTCATCAGCAAGCCTTTAAAAAGGGCAAGACATCTGCAGATGCTTAGTGCGGGCTGAATACAGAATAAAGCTTAAGCAATTGTCAAAGAAAACAAAGTTTCTTAGGTGATGCTCTGTATCTCTGTCCATGGGGCCCATCCATGTCTGAGTCTAAGCATGTACCTCCCCATGGACAGGCTCTCGCTCCTGACAAAATGTAGCTTCCAGAACAGATAGTTTGGAGGCAGCACCTCCTTGCTGTGCCTTCGATGAGCTCTCTGAAGACCACCTCCCTCGAATCATTTGCCATTCACCCACAGACTGCTGCATGCTCCTTGGCATGCGAGCGGTTAGGTCTCTGCCAGCCCACATGACTGCTTGGCTTCCTTCTCCTCACACAGCTTGCAAAAGAAATCTCCAGCAAGAAACTTCCATACAGCATCAGCATCGTCTCTGTGGGTCTCTCACTCATGGGCACCTGCCCTAAACCCCCCTTTCAGAGCCAACCTTTCACAGGTGACTCTTCTCAGGGAGGTGCTGATGCCTCCATCAGCCTCTTCCCACTCTGGGAAACCCACTGGTGTGCCCACAGCCCTTCATTTGGGGTTCACGCTGTTCCCATCACCAAGAGCACACACATCATCTCCACAGGAGCCAGCTCGTAAGGGGTTAAAACAAACTGCCATTTAAAGAGCATTCACATCAGCTGTACCGACACTCTGAAGCCCTCTTCCTGCTCAGCACAGGCTGTCAGCTCCCCCTTGCCCACAGCCCAGGTACAGGTGTCTCACTTTAGGGTGTTAATTCATGCCAGGTGTGGGGAAAGCAGCACCTGCAAACCAGACAGAGCCACGCAACAACTTCCCAGCTTCTGTCTCTGCTAATGAGACCCGTCCCCGAAATGGAAACCAACGGGGAAAGGTTCAGCCGCTTACCATATATTTCTCTACCCAGATGGTTCCCTTCAAATACACATGCTAATATGCATAAACACTAAAGCAGACTTGCACCAAGGCACTTTTAAAATGCCTTGGCACGGTGGGAAGCAGACTGCTTCCACAGAGCACACTTCTACCCCTATGCAACACGCAGACTAAAGCAAGCCATGGCAGAAAAGCACCGAGCACTGTTAGAGCATCATCTCCTACCTGTGAGCACACACGTCCTAGCGCCCAGGAGCTTGTGGCAGGAGCTGCTGCCGGCAGCTCTACGGGAGCACCAGCGACTCCATGGGGATGCTTGCTTGCTCGCTCGCTCTCCGATGCTGTAGAGCCTCGGCTGCCTGTCCAGGGAAGCAGGGAACGCTGTGCTCCCGGCTAACCGCGGCGGTCACATCCAGCCGGGATGTGGCTCCTCGGAGGAAAGGCTTCAGAGACACAAAGGGACTGGGTCCTGCTGGGGGCAAGCGGAGGAGCCTCCCGCTGCCGCGGCGTGGGACAGCTCCGGCAGGAACGCTGCCCAGGATGCGGTGGCAGAGTGAGGCATCCGTCGGCATCTCCCGCTAGCGGAAGGCCCCCGGGGAAGCAGGGAGCAGCACCTCGCTGCAAAGGCCACACGTGTGGGAGATGAAGCAGCCCCCATGCGGGCTCAGTTAACTTCCGAGGGTCACAACCTCGGGGTCTCACACCTGGGAAAGGAAAAAGCCTGATGGGGGATGAGAGCTGAGTAACACTCAAAGCATCTCCTCTGTATGCAGAGCTCCAGGCTATGCCGGAGTTTATGCATCAACAACACAGAATAAAGTTGGGCCTAGGAAGAGGCTGCTGCATGGAGTTTCCCCCCTCCTCACTGCCCAGAATCAACACTGCTTGCTCATTAAAGGAGTCTCCGCCAGCATCAAACCTGCACGGCTGCGCATACAAGTGCCTCATGTATCCTAAGACCAATTATTCACGAGCACAACTCCAGCGAAACGCATTCCAGAACAATGAACCTTTTCTTTCCAATCCGAAGCCTGAGAAAAACCTCACTTCAACACCATTCCCCCCCCTGCCTATGCCTGTCGCACGCAGGCTGAGAACACAGCAACACGCAAGTACCCGGGGAGCATCCATTCCAGCCAGCCCGGCTCCCGATGTCCACCGCACACTGGGGACATCCCGGGGACCGTTCCTAGGTAATCCAGAGGAGTTGCAGCCACGCAGAGCCCCCCTTTCCCCGCACTCCGTCAACTTCAGCTCTCCCAAAAGCCGGAACACGACATTTTGCAACTCTTGCTACGCTAAACACACTGCGGCCACCGACATCCCCCCCCCACCCCTCCACCACCACCACCAAGGGCTGGTAACAAAGTCCTTCACCAAGTGCTGCCGTAACCGGGGCGAACGGAGCTGCTGCCGCCGGCAAGCATGGGCGCGCCCGGCTCCGCTTCGCCCCTCGCTCCGAGCCTTGCCCGGGGCTCCCAGCGCCTCCCGGCTCCGCAGCGCCGGGCGAGCGGCGCATCCCGGGCCCGGGCATCCCGCGGCGAAGGGGGGAGCACAGAGGGACCGCGGCCGGCACCTCCACGGCGGGGAGCGATGCTCTGGGTCCCCGCCGCCCTTCATCCCCCCCTGCCCGGTCCTCCCTCCCCGCGGCGGCTCCTACCTGGGCTGGGCGGCGCGGCTCTGCCCGCGGCTGCTCCGGCCCCGCTCCGACCGCGGTGGCGGCGGCGGCGTCGGGCCCCCAGCGGCGAGCGGGGGAACTGCAGGGGCGGCTGCCGGGGCACGGCGCCGCGGGAAGGGGGTGACGGGCGAGGGCGCCCCCTCGCGGGCGTGCGGGGTAGCGCGGAGGGGATGGAGAACGGAGACGGAAGGAGGGCAGGGTGAGGATGGCAGGAAACGGGGCAGAAACCAGGATGGGGGGAGCAGAGGGATGCAGGAAGGGGAGGGGACTGAGGAGGGGAGGGAGCAGTGGGGTATTGAACTGTTGCTTCCAAAGTGACCCGTTCTCCTGCGGCTGAGCACTCGCTGTGCCTTCTCGCCACACATCCCAAATCCTGAACTGCTTAGCACTCCCTGCTCTTAGCCACAGCCCTGGTGCTCCATTTGTGTGTCCTCTCCTTCTTCACTGCTTGGAAAGGACACTTTTGCCCAGAGCTCCTAAAATCTTCATGTTCAGCGTTAATCTCCTCCTTGTGCCCTGCACAGTAACACAATGATGGGTAAAAGACATCACCCAGCACCGAGAAACTGGTAGGAGTGGGATGAACAGGACCTGTCGTCTAGTGCAAGGCTGAGAAATGCAGCAGCAGGCGGCCAGCTTCCTAAGCCGTGGTGTCCCTGTAGGCTGTAATGCTCCAGCCTTCCCTGCTACACTGCAGTTTTGTTTTCCTGTTTGTTTTCAAGAGCGAGCAAAGCAAAGCTTGTAAACCATCAATTAATTGGACTCTAGCATTAGGAGCAATGAACTACTCCTTGACAGGAATTCATCTCCCCCTCCTGCTGAGAAGAAATAAGCTGGAGGAAAAGAATCCGCCTCACAGCAGAAAAAGTGAAACGCCTCTGCTTCGGAGACAAATTACTCATAAGATACATAGGTAACAGGCACAGGGTGCTTTGAGCTCATCCCTTTTGCACATCATTTCCCGTAGGACAGCAGCTAGAAGCCAATGGCTCTGCGAATGCTCCCTGTGCCTTTGCACCAGTGACCCTGCCCAGCAGGCCGTTCCAAGCCTTTATTATCCTCAGGATAAAGAGCATTTCCCTACGTCTGGGCTGCATTTGCTTGGAGATTGATGACCGTGGCCCTCAAGGTCCCGGTTCACAACTGCCTGGGCTGCGGTGATGAGCATGGGCAGAGCACTGGGTTCTGAGAGACAGGAGCACACAGTTTGGCTGCCAAGCTGGACCAAAAGAAGCCCCTGTGCAAGCGCCAGCAGTGGGAGATAGACAGGGTCTGCCTCTTACCTGAACCAGGCAGGGCTTCCTCTGTGCATCCCTGGCGGGCATGGTCCCGATGGATGCTGCATCCTCCTCATGACTCTCCCATCTCCAACCTTTGGAGAGGTTCGCTTTCCCCTCTCCTTCTGCTCTTGGAAAGCTCCAGCTGTCCTGCTGCAAGTCTCACTGCTAAGTCTGAGCAAGGAGAGCTGGATTCCCATTATTTCCAGCTTCGTTTGCCTTCCCCGGTTTCTGAAGCAGTTGCGTTTCCTTTAAAACCTGTTGGCATCTTTGTGTTTGAGATAATTCAGAGAAGGAACAAACAGGATAGAAACTGTCTGCAGAGAAATCCGGTTTGGAAATAAAAGGGATTCCAACCATAAGAGGAAAGGTTTGAAACTGCCTTCTGCCATAAAGTGTTATGTGGGGAGATGGGGCAGAGGGAAGCCACCCAACTGGATTTAGGATAGTTTGGTCATTTTATGAATGAGGGTATCCGAGTTACCTGCAAAAGGGAGTTGGATGGCCTAGAAAATCCTGTTTGTGGAACTATGGTTGTTGCAAGACTCTACATGTAAAGACTAGAGGAGGTTTGGGATCCCGCTTACTCCCCATGGTACAGGACAGGGAAGGGACACAGATACATCAGAAAGCCAGAGAGGCAGCGCCTGTCCCTACAGGGAGGTCAGGACTGCACCAGAAAGCCACTGTGAAGATGCTCTCTTAGGTCAGGCAAGGTCTTTCCTAAGTGAAAATGAGATGGTCCCAGAAAAGAGGTTACTTGTCCCAAACAGAGGCTCAAAACAACGAGCTTCACTATTGCAGGTCCAGCTCATGCCAGCCCAAACCCACGCTTTCCCCACCAGCCGCTTTACTAGCTGTGCCCATGCAGAGTATAATAAAGCCTGCAGTGATGCATATGGATCAGTCTGCCCCCTTTCTCGCTAACAACAGACTGTTTGTTCCACAGAACAATCTAACGTCTCCAGATCCAAACATCTGGGGGAAATAGCCACCGTCAGTAACCACAGCGCTTGCCTCACCGCATTAGATATATCTGAGCAATTACATTATCTTTTCCCTCTCAGTTGCACTAAGAGGGGCTCTGATCTCAACCTGACGTGAATCATTTAAACAACTGCTACATTTATCTTCATAGGTGGCTATATTTCAGCGGAACGGTAAATAACAGTTACCACTGTAAGAAAGAGTCACTCAAATGCATGAAGTACTAAGAGATTTCTGGGGATAAAAGACACTGCACAAGGCAAGATTCCTCATTTGACTGAAATATAAAGAAATGAATCTATTCTGCGTGTGGCAGATTTTTCCTTCAAGGTTCATAACCACTTTCTGTTGGTAATAGAACACGTCCAAATTAGATAATCTTATAGATAAGAACAGCTTTGAAGGAACCGGTTAGCGGAATAACTATCTTGTGGTAGTTACATAAAAAAGCCCATCTAATTATATATATATATTTAGATGGCTCAAAGAAGTTAGTAGGATGACTTAGATAAATAAGGAACATTTTGTGGAACAGTTTGTTTGCTTGCTTTCTCATGCAAAAGAAAATGTGTGTGAATTGAAGAAGAGCTCGAGTCAGGAATGGTATCTGCAATCCTGATGTAAGGCCATGGGTGGATGCTGGTAGCCCCATCTGAAGAGGATGCTCCGCACAGTGTGTTGTCTCACTCCCCCCCGCCCCGCTGCAGCAGGCACATATGTGGTTGCAGGATACAGGCTATAATGAAGTCAGGAATGGCATTGCCTTGGTTCTGCAGCCAGGAATGCAGAGATGATTTGCCTTACAGGCCTGCTTCCCAGGGATGTGGGAGCCCTGCTACCACACTGGCACTACAGCGGCTGCCACAATCACAGCAATCCTTTCTAGCTTGAAATGCAGCAATATGCCCACATGCACCCAAATTCCTGGCTCCAACCAACACTTGGGCACTCATTCGTTCCTTTCTAGGCCATATCCTGCCTCTCAGCAGCCTCCATCCTTACGCTTCTGCTTATTCCCACTTTTGAAAGCAACACATTCCCTTAGCTACTGTGTAATCTCATAAATAAATACATATATATGTGTGTGTAGTTAGTGCTTAACGCTTCCAAAAGAGATTGATTACACACTCTCTCAGGTGCTGTACACACAGAGACACAGCCCTGGAAGATCAGAGCATTTAAATGAGTTCTAAACAAGTAGATTGCCATTTTAGAGATGGCAAACAGGGCTGGAGCAATGACATGACTTCAATCAGGTCATGCAGGCTTGCTTAGCATACCTCAGAACTAAACCCAGACCGTGTTTAGTCACAGCCCTGTCCTTTCACAAGGAGAAATACCCTCTTCAGGTGGTATAAACACTGGACTGATTATTTGAAGTGTTTATCTGCGCTTGCACCTTCATTTTCCTGCTTTTTGGTGTTCTCTTCTT